GAAAGACCCAAGATTTTCTGATGCTTGTAGGTTGAGACAAGACGTATGCATTCGCATCAAGTACTTCTTTGTCCTTCGTGGTTTGCTAAGTTTGCTTTGCAGCTTGTTTTGAAGCTCTAGTCACTTTCGCAACTTTGGGATATTGAAATTCTTGATCGTGCTGTTTTTCCTTCCTTTCTTTTGCGTTTAAATTTTTTATCATTGATGTCGGATTTTTTTTCACTGTAAACAGTGAAAATATCAGTAAAAGTGAAATTTCTCTGAAGTAACAGATGATATTTCAATATGTAAATTTATTTGATTCAATATTTTTCAGTTACCATAGACATTTGTCATTTGTTTCGGTTGTTCTTTGTGTGCCATTTGTTCTTGTTAAGTTGTTGGTTGTTGTTCCACTTGCATTCCAACTATACACAGTGAAAATCAAACAAGCCCCAAAAATCGAATAAGAAAATAGACAGAGAAGACGAAATGAGCAGTAGAAATCAATAGAAATAAGCGGCAGAAACTAATGTGTTCAGAGAAATATAACTTCTAGAGAAAATTACCAATGACATAGAAAATTATAATAAATAGAAATTTATCTGAGTTATGTTGACACAAGGACATAACTTTTTGTGGCTCATGATTTTCACTGACCTTGTGGTTGAAGTTGTGTTGGTGTTTGGTATGGTTATGTTGCTAGTTGGACGGATAGTTCTTGAACTTGTTCATGCAATTTAGCATTTTCAGTTTCAAGCTTCGAATTTGAATACCTCAACTGTTGAATTGTTTTTGTATCGTTTTCTTTTTGAACCTCCAACATCCTTAGTTTCATTTGGATTGTGCTATCTCTTTCTTGAAGTTTTGAGTTAAGTGATGTCAAAGTTCTTATTACAATATCCTTTTCAGCAAGTAATTTAATCCAATTTCTCTGTTCTTCTTTTTTAGATTGAGAAAGTGCCTTTAGTCTTTGACGTAGATCAGCAATTTGGGCATCCTTTGATTCCTCAGATTCTTGAGGCTGATGCATTGTTGAGCCACAAATCCTATCACGTTGTTGGTCCATCGGCTCATTACGTTCTTCTTCATCACTTTCCTCATTGTTTTCTTCTTTCTGTTCATCTTCTTCTTCACTGTCTTCTTCTTTCTGTTCATTTTGTTATTTGTCTTCTTCTTCTATTTCTTCACTTTCTTCTCTAGCTTCTGCTTCTCTACTGCTTGCTCGATCTTCTTGTCCATTGCTGGCTTCATATTCTTCTATGTTGCCTTCTGCTTCTTCATTCCCTCATTGGTCAGATGAATCTTGTAATGTCTCCTTGAATTTGACAATTGCATTTTTTGATTCTTTCTTTGTCTTTTTACCAAGACAGAACTCCTCTGATGGGTTTTTGACTAGCTCCTTGTTATCTATCTATAACAGGAGGCTCTTTTATTAGAAAAATGTTACAAAATTCACTGAGAGAAAAAATTCAAATAAGGAAAATAAAATTCATCTAAATGATACTAATGGGAAACAAACTTCAGAGAAAATTGTATGGGCCAGAGAAAATTACAGACAAGGAGTTAATTTTATGAGGTAGAGAAAATTACGAAACAAACAACATAATTTAGATATCAGAGAAAATCAATCAAGGCATATAAGTTAATGTTTGGCTATAATTGTGTCAGAGAAATTTTGATTCCAGAGAAAATTTATTAGAAGGGTAGAAATAAACAGTGTTTATCAAAGATGCAAGGCACATAAGTTATGGGTCAGAGAAAATTACACACAAGGAGATAAAATTTTATGCGCCAGAGAAAATTATGAAACAACCAACATAATTCAGATATTAGAGAAAATCAATCAGGGCATATAAGTTAATGTGTTATAATTGTGGTCAAAGAAATTTGGATTGTAGAGAAAATTGATTACAATGGCAGAAATAAACCAGTGGTAATCAAGGAAGAAAACATAAATTGATAGTTTAGAGAAAATTGATCTGAATCAATCAATGCACAATGAGAGAAACAAAGCAATGGTCAGAGAAATTTTGGAATTTCACTGAGATTTCAGTAGCGATAGAAATCTAACCTGTCGAGGTGTAAGAGAGTAGACTGGTGTCTTCTGCAGCTGTTTCATCAAGGTTTGCAAGTTCCACTTGGCACATCTTGGGAAGTCAGTTGTGTTACTGTCTTCCGAGTTAATGATATTTGCATGTTCACATAGCCAATATTGTGATGAAAATTAAAGCAATTAAATTTTTCTAAACGCACAAATTTGTAAGTATGATAACTGCAAATTTGAATGGATATTATACTTACCAGCACTGCAATGACACACCCTGTAACTTTTTCTGGAGTTTTGTGCAATGCTATGATAGAATCAATCAATGTTGATGTGATTGCTTCTGGCCAATCATACTGTTTCATTGATTCAAGAGGTTTCACATACTTTATAAAAACCCACCCTATTGAATTCCCACTTGTTGCAAAAAATAGGGTAAGACACAAGTACAATGTAACAATCATTGCTATATCTTTGAAGTCAGTTGGTTGCTTGCCTTTCATTACTTTGACCAAGGCATTTTTAAGAACAGAACCAGTGAGCCTTGTGTCCTTTTAGAATCTTCTCCTTAGGAATGCAGATTTTGACTTTTTAGAGTATCTTAATGACATGGCTCATTTACCTCCTCGCAAACCAAAAACCAAGGTCATGTCATTTGTTGTAAAGGTCAAGTTCTTTTTACCAACTGTGAATGCTTTTGTTTTTTCATTGTAACATTAGATTATTGCAACTACATCATCATCAGATTTCCTTAGATCCATCCTTCCAGTGGTTAGAGCTTGGATCAAATACCAGAATGGGGTCTTTTGAAGCTCTACAAGTTGATTTGAATTGAATTTAAGTGTTTGAAAAAAAGAGACAACAGAGGAGAGGTTGGATCGGTATTGAATGTTGTAGTGAACTCTCTTTCTTTGGAGTTTAACAGGTTTTTTCCCCCTTGAGCTTGAGTCTTTTGAAGTTGGGGTACTCATCTGGATGCTAGTTGCTTCATCATCTTGGACTAGTGTGTTTTGGAGAGGAGTTTGTGGTGTTTTATTGCTGATTTTTGATCTTAGATCATAAAAAGACCGAGAGAGTTGTTCTTTCTTGCTTGGTGTTTTCAGTGTTTTGCTGCTGGTTTTTTATCTTAGCTCATAAGAAGACGGAGAGAGTTTCTGTTTCTTGCTTGGTGTTTTCGGTGTTTTGCTGCTTTTACGTTTTGCCATTTCTAGACAATGATTAAAACATAAAGATGTCAACATTAAATCCCAGAGAAAATTGAACATGCCAGAGAAAATTGGACATGTCAGAGAAAATTACAGATAAGGGAGAAAATTACAGATAAGAGAAAATTGGAGATGTCAGAGAAAATTACAAATAAGAAAAAATTGGAGATGTCAGAGAAAATAACAGATAAGGGAAAATTACAGAAAATTGGACATGCCAGAGAAACTTGGACATGCTAGAGAAAATTGGACATTAAAAATTAAATGTCAGAGAAAATCAACAAAGCATTATAAACATGAGAGATAAATTTTCAATAATTGTTAAAATTACATATAGAAGTAAACATACCAGAGAAAATGAATGACAGAAAAAAGTAAACATGGCAAGCCAAAGAAAATTTCCATTCCACAATTAGCAAGATAAAATAAACAAAGTAATGTAAACATGCCACTGAAAATTACACCACATTGAAACCAAGAATTAAACAAAATAAACATACCAGAGAAAAATACACATTTCGGATAAAATTATACATTCTTGAGGAAATTTCCATTCCAGAGAAAATTTCAATTTATAATATTAAAATGCCAGAGAAATTTACATACACAACCAGAAAAAATTAACCATGATAGAAACAGACAAGGGAGGAAAGTGATGTGATGTGGTTAGAGAAAATTATGAATGCCAGAGAAACTTAGACAGAGGCAAGAGAGTAATAGACATTTCATAAAAAAATACATATTTTAGAGAAATTTACAAAGTAGAGAAATTCATAGACAAAATCACAGAAATATGTTCAAGAATAAGATCAAAACACAGAGAAATAACTTTTTTTTCAAAATACACATGTCATAGAAAATTCAAAGAAGAAACATTCATTCCAGTCCATAATATTAAAATGCCAGAGAAAATTAAACATGATAGAGACACACAAAGGAGGAAAGTGATGTGATGTGATCAGAGAAAATTATAAATACCAGAGAAACTAGACAGAGACAAGAGAGTAATAGACATTCCAGAGAAAGATAGACATTCCAATTAAAAATACATATTATAGAGAAATTTACAGAGCAGTGAAATTTATAGACAAAATCACAGAAACATGTTCAAGAATAAGATGAAAACACAGAAAATTACTTTTTTCAAAATAAACATGCCAGGAAAAATTGAAAGAAGAAACATACATCAAGCAAAAACTAGAGAAATTCAAATGCCAGATAAATTTACAGATAAAATCACACAAACATATTCAAGAATAAGTTCAAAACACACAGAAATAACTTTTTTCAAATTCAGGCAGCTTTTATTACGAAATTGAAACCCTAATTTATGGAAGGTTAATATAAAATGCTATTAACTGTATTTCCAGAGAAAATGTGGTTGTATTGTAGAAAAACTTAGGATGAAACTTGAATAACGAGCTGATATGGCCTGAGATGAAGATGCGACGTGACAAAAGATGAATTGAGATAACGACGAACAGTGAAAACGGGGTCAGAGAAATTTATGAGGAAAGAATGGGAATAATTTTTGCAGAAGATAACGAAGCTTTAATGTCGATAGTGAAGATGATATTGAAACCCTAGTTCTTTTGTTCTCTTATTTGTGAAGATCCTGGATACTTGAAATAGAACTTAGACGTCGGAATGAGTTTCGTTTCTGCATTGATTTTGAGAAGGATGTTTTGACCCACAAAATAATTAAAAACGCACGCTAAGCTATTCAAAAAACCGATGCATCACTTCTTTTTTTTTTTATATCCTTCCTTCTTATTATCCGCATAAAAAATTACTCGTTCCTAATTTAGGTGGCCCGTTTTCTACGCACACTCGAGGGTGTTTTTTTCGCACAGCAGCTCTGCCAAAATAAACCGTCAAGGCTCATAGGCGGCGCCGAAACGGGCGAATTTCTGGTGGATTTTACTGTAAGTCTCTCTTCGTTGTATGTTTTTATCTCTCATCTCTTGAATTTGAAGTTTTAATCTGCTCAATCAAAAGAACTTTTCATTCATGGGTAGCTCAGGAAAATGGATTAAAGAATTATGGCTCTCAAATATCGCTAGTAAGAATACCATTTAGGCTTACATTTCTATTACGAATTTATAGCTTCTATATATCTATGCATGTATCGCAAAAAAAATTACCGTTAAATGTTAATGGGTTCTAAATTCAGTGTATGCCATATTTTAGGTGTTATTATTGGTGATGTGTTATTATGTGTTCGATTAAATGTCTAAATGAATAAATCATAAGCTTTAGGGAGCTTCTATTTACCAACACTAAGGCTATGTTTGGCATAACACAAAAAAGTCAAAAAGTCACTATCCTATTTAAGTCGCATCATCTTATTTAAATCACATCATCTTTCTATCACATCACTTCAAACCCAACTCATATTTTACAAAAATTCAAAAAGTACACTTACTTAGATCATCTCAAACAACCCCTTAAAGGCACACTTAGTTAAAAAATTTATTTCTTAATCAAATTTTACACTCGGTTTGGGAAAGGCTTTTTTTTTTGCTAAAATTGTCAAAAAAAAAAATAATAAAATAAAATTAAAAACTAAAATAATCAATAAGACAAAATGTCACATTTTAAACATTTATTAATCACTTTTTCTCTTATAGCCATTTACTCCGCTACAAAAAAAAAAATCACAAATTATCCAAAACACGACTTTTTTTTCATCTCATAAAATAATCAAAAAGTCAATTAGCCAAGTTTCCAAAAAAGGCTTGGTATTAAGGACAAATCTTCATCTTTTTCCAATTTCGCATACACATCTCACCACCCACCCACCATACACAACCAGAAAAAATTAACCATGATAAAGACACACAAGGGAGGAAAGTGATGTGATGTGATGTGGTTAGAGAAAATTAGTAACAACCAAAAAAAAAAAAGGAAGAGAAAAATACAAAACCCGGGAGAGTGAGAGGGCTCTTGAACCAGCAACGAAGAGAGAGAAGATCACCGGACCAATGTAAAGTCCACTAGCACCATCCAGAATCTCCCCATTTGGACTCAATAGCCACATCCATAAACTTCTATTTAAATTCAATTCACATTCATGAAATTTAAATAAATAATTAAAAATACCTAATTCCACAACAAAGATTTGAACTTTTTTTAACTCACTTGCAAAGATTTGAACTTTTCCATGCTCACATACAAGTGATAAAAATATATATAAAAAAATAAAATTAATTCCACAAGCCAATTTTTCAGAACCAAGCTTTTCAACACACATGCAAGAACCATTCAGGCTAATAAAAACTAACTCTAATTTTTGAGGTCCTAATTTTTCAATTGAAATCCCCAAATCAAAACCCTAGTTTGGGCAGCGGGGTCGTGGTGGTGCAGGGTCGATGAGGGAGGAAGAGATTTAGGGCCGCGACTAGGGTTTTGAAGGAAGGTTGGGTTGGGTGGAGGGCTAGGGTAGGGTAGGGTGGGGTGGAGTGGTAATTGTGGGCAGCAATGGTGGAGGGTTGAGTGTGGCGGTGCTGGCAGCGCAAGCTTCCAGCACGGAAGAGGCAGGGTGGGTGGGTGAAAGAAAAATTAGGGATTTTGAGAAGTAAAGATGAGGCTATTACTAGAATGAAGAGATGTGCACTAAGATTTTATTTTTATTTTTTGGAATCTTAAAAAGACGTGTGCAATGAGAAAGTATTCCCTAAGTGTGTGCACTGAGGGGAATTGGTGTGGAAAGTAGAAGCTCTCCTTTAGATAATCCATAGCTGAGTACTCAAGCTACTGTTACTGCTTCCAAGGGATAGATGCCATATAGACTACTGTTATTGGTCTGATTGTGTTTTTGAGTAGGCATTTGGATTGTCTTGCAGCTAGAACACTGTCTCCAATTTATGAATTGTTCATAGTGCATTTTTTGTTATTTCTTTGTGAATCAATGTACGCGGTTAATATGATTCATTCTACTTGTACCACTACTATTGTTGTCACTGCCAACTTGCTCTTACATATATGGAATCAACAAAAACTACGAAAGCAAATGTTCAATTTTTCTTGTTCTTCTGTGGTTACTATTACCAACTACACCATCATCTGTCACTATAAATTGAAGATTGAGTTATTGATCTTGTATGAATTTGACATTGGAACTTTGGTTATAACTATAGAAGGTTAAATGGCGAGGTGGAGAAAAGTATTGATTCTGACTTGTTATCTTGATTTCGTATTGATCTCTGGATGTTAGTTTGAGCCACTTTTAACATTTATATTTATATTTTTATATGCACACCATGTTATATATTTGACTCTGTGCATTTGTCTGGGTGTGCCTGTGCTTGCGTAGTTAGTATGTACAATTTTCAAATTAAGACTTATTCTGCATTTTGCAAAAGGACAAATGAAAAAAACATAATGTGCAAAAATTTTGCTTTATTCTTCTCTTGGAAGGTCTCTTAGCAGCAGGTGATGTTCATATTAACCGATACTTTCAAGCACACAAGATGTTTGGTTCAGTGTTTCAACAAAATGTATTTGATCCTCAGGAATATACACACATACATATGTATGTCGTCTGATGATCAATCATGAGGCTCTATGATGCATGCAAGGAGATATTGAAGATCCAGAAGTTCAGGAGAATGGTATCCTATGCTGGGTTTTATGGCTTTGTCACGGTCATAAGCTATGCTTACACAAGCAATACGTGAGTGGGATACTTAATTTCACTCCACGTGTGTTGCTGAAGCATATGTGGGTTTTTAACCTTTCTTTTTTTTGTTGTTAATTTGGATCTGCAGGACTAGAGCTGGTTACTCTAGAGCTGACCAATTCTATGCATCTTACCCAGCTGGAACTGAGCTCTTAACTGACACTGCTAAGGTCAGCTATGCACCTTTTTGGATATAGCTTACATGTTTTTCTTCATTTTTTTTTTAATTTTTGGTCAGACATGTGATAATCAAGGTTTTGATTTGCCATTAGTTATATAAAGCTGCGCTTGGAAATTGCTTTGAAGAGGAAGAGTGGGGACCAATTGAATGGTGCATCATGGCTAAACACTTTGAACGTCAAGGGAAATCTCCATACGCATATCATGCAGTAAGTTCAACGACACAACTATTGGTTGAAATTTACTTCATTCTTACCTTATTTATTTTGTAATTTATTTGTTTTAGTTGAAAACAAGTCATAACATTTGGATTTATACGAAAATTGAGTGGCTTTGTTGTGTTCTGTGGTTATTATGTTATCTAAGATTTTTTTTTTTTTTGGCTATAAATGGGGCTATAAGACATGAGACCTGACCTAGTATCGCAATTAGAAGTATAAAAATGAAGCTATCTATTCTACTGGAATCCCAAGACTGATTGTAAATTATTAGTGTTTTGATGACTTCCTTTTTCTATAATAACCCTATTCTGGATGATCAATGTATATGATTGTGTGCTGGAGTTGATACAATTTGTTGTGTAACTTGTGCTGGTCATTCAAAGTGGCCCTAGAATATAAGAATTCTTAAGTAAGAATGGGGCTTAACTTTACAAAAGGAAAAGAAAAAAAAGAAAGGAATGAGACTTTTTGGGGTAACATTAATACTAAAAGTTGCACTTCCAACAAGAAGACACAGAAACAGTCTATGTAAAAATATATTTATGTCATCAATGCATCAAAGTTCTTGTAGGAGTTTTGAAACTATTCCTAGGTACTCTTGGTAAGAATCTGGTGGTGGCCTGTTAAGGTGAAGTACTTTCGGTATTGTATTTGGCATATTATTGGGGCCTGGTTACATATCCATTTAAAATATGGAACTATGAGCATTTGTAGGATGGTAGTAGCTGATTTCTCCTACAATGGATAGCCTAGAAAAAGCAAAGATGTTTTAGGATGCTTCAATCACTGAGAATCACTAGTTTAATAACATTCCTAATGCAAGTTCCTCTAGCCAATTATAAGTTTCCAGGTTGAAAATATCATGTCACGGAGTTTTTCCTTAAGTGCAACATTGAATCGAATGACTGAGCCCTTGTGTTTCTGTTCCTATTTTAACTTGAGCCATTTGCATGCAAGATATGCAGCCCTAAGATTCTAGTTTTGCTTTGCTTCTTTTATGTTGAACGATTTCTTCGAGTTTGCAGCTTTATGCATCTCAGTTATGGCAAAGTGGCTATTCAAAATCCTTCTTTTTTGAACAAGTGAATTTTAAAACAAGTGACCAAAAATTGGGTAATCAAGTGGTGATTATATTTCAGGAAGCAAAACAAAACCCGACTGAAAATTTTCTAAACCTTCAGTGTCAAAATTTGAGGTTGAAGGAAATATGGGCATTGGAAAGATACATGTTCAATATTATTATTTCACGACATGAATGTCAGTATGATTCAGGATACACTAATAAAACTCGTGCCTGTCTTTCAAATGTTGGAATCACTGTATTACTAGCCATTTGATCATTATAATTATCCATTAGAAAAAATTGGTTGTGAGATCCTTTCTGGCAAACTTAAGCAGTTCTTCATTTTAAGAGGAGGTCTATCTCTCTCTTCAGTTACTGCTACTGTGAAGCTGAAAAATTAAAATATAAACTTAGCACCTGTCACCATCTTCCCCAAGGAAAGCATTGGAGAGCTAATATTGGATCACATAGGGAGGCAAAAAAAAATAGCAAGAATCTTTCTTGTGTGTGCTCTGTTTACACTGTGCTATCGAGGAACAACAGGAGATTGGATCTCATAGAGTTCACATTAAAGCATTTGGCATTCAATCAGCTGATGGAAGGATCAACCTACACATTAAAGCATATTGCCCTTTCTGCTAAGTAGTTTCATAGTCATCACATTCCAAGCCATTCATCCATTTTATACACATTATGGCAATTATTTGAGTAAGAGTAATTTGATGCAAATATGCTGCGAATGAAAATAGTGGTGATCGATTTGTACAGAATGAACCGTCTACTATGCTTAACCTTTTTTTGATTTTAATTTTTTTTTCTCTCTTCTCGTGTTGCAGCAATACATGGCGCACCTAGCCTCCCATGGGCAAGTTGATGGAAGTGCCTAGGGGATGTATAATACTTCTCCCCTCATGAGGCGCATCACTTGTGTCAATACGAGAAAACCTTGTGGCAACGTTTGGAGTTACTCAAATTGTTTATCAAGAAAACATTGTCAGGAGACACGCTTGTAATGTTGAGATTTCATACCTCTTTCTTGGCTGCTTGTAATGCTAAGATTTTTTAATTTTGATTTTTGTTTCTTTAATGAACTTTTTTAATAATTTAAAAAAAAAAATTACTTTTTAATTGCATTTAAAAAGTAAAATATTTGTAATTTTTTTAAAAGAAAAATTCATTAAATACAAAAACTAGTGTTTGGTTTTAGTTTTTTGAAAATTGTGTTTTTTGTTTTTCGTATTTTTTTGTTTTAGTTAATATTTTTAAGATTTTAAGGATTTTTTAAACTTTTTTAGGTGCACATTAGTTAAATGTATCTAAATAGTAAAATATTTGTGAAAAAATATTTTAAAAAATTAATAAATATACAAAAATATGAAAAATGTACTGAATTTTTTGTATTTTTTTATATTTTTTGATATTTAGTGTATTTTTTAAATATTTTTTTTACAAATATTATACTTTTTAAGTGTATTTATGGTCAGGGATCAAATCCCTAACTATGATGCGGTTTGAAATATGACAAATTTGCGGGTTGCGGGCGGGTCGCGGGTTAAAACCGCAACCCGCAAAAACCGCCCGCACTTTAATTAGCATTATTATTATTTTTTTTTATATACCAACTTTGTAACTTTAACAGGAGCACCATTATGTTCTCTATGTCACTAGGATCTTTATTTTTAAGTATTTCTTAACTTTCTTAATGTCATAGGATTATCAAGTCCTAAACTTGGTTTCATATATGATTTTCATTGATGACTCATCCACTTTTTCCTAATAAAATTTTTCTTCTGGTGATCGATGAAGCTTCTAGTTTGATTATTGATTACTGAATTGACAATTCTAATTGAGTACAACCTTTAATACATTGATATACATTTTTTTCATGACAAAAATGCTAGTGATATTTAATTTTTATTTGTAAACTCATCAGAAAATTGTTATTAAATGATCACAAATATATAAAATGAATCTAATGCTTAAATTCAATGGAAAAAAAAAAACTTAAAAATTAATTTTTAAAGAAAAAAGTGTAAACCGCAAACCGCCCACAACCGCCCGCACATCTACAAACCCTATCCGCACAAACCGCAAACCGCACTGCGGGCGGTTGCGGGTTGACTTTTTCCTAAACCGCATAGATGCGGGCGGGTCAAAACCGAACCGCAAACCGCACAAAACCGATCCGCGAACACCCCTAATATTACCCCAATTTTGGAAATTGTTCATTAAAAATATTTAAATTTTTTTTGGGGAGATTTGGTGATAGTCCGCTCACTATCTAATTTATCTTTCAAAATGATAAGAATTATATAAGTATTTTCAAAATTCTCTAATATTTTAAAACTTGTTTATTTTACTATATTATCCTCATATCTATCAGTTCTCCTATTAAGCCATCTTTACTGTGTATTTCAGAGTAAAATTTTACTCTGAATAAGAGTAAAATGTTACACTCTGAAACTAAAAGTAAAATTTTACTCTGAAACTAAAAGTAAAATTTTACTCTGAAAAACTAGTAAAATATTAGACTCTACACAAAGTAAAATTTTACTCTGTATAAAAGTAAAATTTTACTCTAAAAAACGAGTAAATTGTGAGACTCTGAAGCTAAAAGTAAAATTTTACTCTATATAAAAGTAAAATTTTACTCTGAAAAACAAGTAAAATGTTAGACTCTACACAAAAATAAAATTTTACTCTAAAAAACTAGTAAAATGTTAGACTTTACACAAAAGTAAAATTTTACTTTGTATAAAAGTAAAATTTTACTCTGAAAAACGAGTAAACTGTGAGACTCTGAAGCTAAAAGCAAAATGTTTCTCTGCACAAAAGTAAAAAAGCGAAGGCAGTGTTTGTGGCGGCTGAAATGTTTGGCAATGACCACCTCTTGACAGTAAAATTTTACTGTCATTCTAACACCAGAGTAAAATTTTACTCTAATTCTCTCAAACAAAAAACAGAGCAATAGAATCAGAATAAAATTTTACTTTCATTATCTGAAATAAAAAACAGAACAATAGAACAAGAGTAAAATTTTACTCTGGTTCTATCAAATAAAATTAGATCAAAAACAACAAAAATAAATAATAATAATAATAAAAAAACAAACAAAAACAAAACAAATTAATCAACATATCTAATTGAGAAGAAAAACTTCTAAAACTCAATCAACAATCACAAATCTCAATGAAAATAATACACGTGTTCAACAACACTCATACACACAAATATATATATATATATATATATACATATATTTTCTTGTTCTTTTTACAACCGTAGAGAGATCCAGAGACTACGCGGATTCTGTGCTGCGAATTGGGATAGAACTTTCGTCACAAGTTCAATTGTCGTTTTTTTCACTGTTTCACCACATCAAACTCCGAACCTTTCACCACATTAGCATCGTAACCGTATTCAAACTCTGGCCTCACCTCTACCGAAGCATTCTTCGCGTCGACACCGTCGTACGCAACAGTATAACCTCGAAAAACCGACGGCGATTGAAGCTGCTGTCAACAAGGTCGTCATCTTCAACGTTGCCTTTGCTACTGAATCGAAAATCCAGATTTGTTGTTGCTTCTGCTCAACTGTGAGATCTAAATCTGTTGGTTTCAGATCTAGATCCACCACCACTACCGGGTGTGAAATCTGTGATGTCCGTCGCTGATCTTGGTAGAGCGGATGAAGAGAGAGACATAGAAGGTGGGTAGATCTAGTTGAGGGGTATAATAGTCTGATAAAATATTTAAATAATAAATTATGTCCTTTATGTAAGACTTTATAATTATGAGGGGATTTAGAAAGTATAATTTTTTTCTTAATCCTTTTAACAATGAAAGGAAGGTAAAGGGGGTTTATAGCTAAATTTTCCTCTTTTTTTTTTTGTCTTTAATAATAAAATATAAAATTTTACTTTAGACAAAAAGGACCATAAAAATAGCAATGGTGCTACATGTATCAATTAGTATATTAACTAGTGTATTAACACTAATTATGACATTATTATTAACCCTACTCATTATACAAATTATAAATACCAAAAAATCTTAAATTATGTCATATCATTAATTAATACACTAATTAGTACACTAATTGATACATATAACATTATTCTAAAAACAGAGGCTAAAAAAACATTTCCCAAAAAAGCAATAAAACAATCACCTATTTTATTTCTTTTTCACCTTACTTATACTTCGAAGGATCTAAGAACCTCCTCAAAATTTTATCTCTTGTTTTTTTGTATTCTGAGGGAATTATTCCATGTCCTATTGAAACTCTTTAGGAAGGAAATTTTTGCACCATACCAATTTAACAACCACTTGAGGGCTCTGGCTCTCCTATTTCAACCATGAGGATTCTGGTCGGCTGTTCGTCCACTTGCTAAGTTGATTGTCTCACGACAAGAAATCTGTTCATTGTCCAAAATGTCATCACATCACATATTAAAACAAGTAAACTGGACTGCCTCCACAACCGAAATGTCTCTCACCCCTATCTATGGAGTGTACTACTAGAGAATTATGTTGTCTTTTTATAAAAATATATTACACTCTGCATATTAAGCTAACTGGTACAACAGAAATACAATAATATCCATATTAACTGATACAAGTTTACAACAGAAATAGGGCACAACAGAAGGGAGAGGACACTGGAGGACTCGGAAAAGAAGAAGCTGGGTTTCAGCCCAATACCCTCATCAACCAGCACACAAGCAAAATTTCCCATCAGGAGAGCAAAAGGACCTGCTCTAGGCCAGCCTCGAGGTCAGAAATTCAAGTCCTTCAAACCGGACAATGGCACTTGCGGATAACACACCTATTGGGAAAAACAAAGAGGAAAAACATGTCAGATAATCCAAAAGATGATTTTGTTCGTTGTGTAGATGGACATCAAGGAGGAAAAACATGTCAGACCCCTGTGCCATGGTTTTAAATACTGACTAGTTCGTTGTGTACTGGCCGCTTTGTACCTCTTTTTTAGCTTCCTGGTTTCAATACACATCGGCATACTTGTGTGAACAAAAATTGCAAGTGAACCACTGTGGGAGTCATTGCGAGCTAGATATTGAAAAATCCAATAGCCGCACCATGGATCCTACTAGAAAAGCACACTTTGTCCATTTCCTACTTTAAAACCAACATTCTGATCGATATCATCAATCACTCTTATGATGCTTTTTTCAGATACCTACACCGTACGGCTTCCTAGTTGTATCTGTGAACAATATCCATTCTTTCTACCAATCATCTTCCATATCTCCCTTTTTCCAAGACAAACCTCCACAACCACTTCTCTAACAATGCCTTATTTATTATCACAAATGAAACAAAAGTACCACAAGCTATAACTTCAAGTGATATCGAGATAAATTAATTATTGTATTATAGTAACACCTTCATTACCGCTCATTATGATATTTAAATTGCTTATGTATAGCTATTTTCACATTATATATAGTTCAGCTGTTAGAGGCTTTGCTCATATGGTGTTGCCAAAATTCCACTAACATGTTGAAGCAAAATAAATTCTGACTCCTAAAATGTTGTTATAAAGGAGCTAAGCTAACCATGCTACTGGCACTTCATTGATACTTAAGCAGGTACTCCTCAAAATACAAAACTATGTCCACTCTAAAGGAAAAAAATTGAACACTTTACTACTACTATGACTTGTATACTACCACCCCTATTATGCGGATGCTACCTCAAAGTTATAAATTTTCAATTACCATATGGTTACTGTCCTTGAATTCCCGAGTCCAGTTTCCGTGGCCTTCCCCGACCTCGACGCTTTTGTTGCAGCTGCTTTTGTGAATTTTCCACATTTCTACCAGCAGATGATTTGCACATTGGAGGCCTTCCTCGACCTCGACGCTGTGGTTGCTTCCACTCATTTTTATGTTGTTGGTCAGCCATTGATGATTCTCCAATAGTTTCAAAAGCTATATCGAGTGGTGTCTCAGCAGGCCTCCCTATGTCACTGCAACCTGGTTCCTGCTGGTCCTCATACCCATGTTCCAAAGGCAATGATTCAGCAATAGTTATTTCTGTAGCTGGTTCGCTTCCGGGAAGTTGAAGCTGAATCAGTAATTGCCCATGCTGTGGCTTACTATAGAATAGCAATGTCTCTCCCTTCAGCTCACTGTAATGTCCATCTACTTGATGTTGTTCTTCAATCACTTCATTTTGTTTCTCTACCTGTTGTTTTTGTTCTTCAGCCACTTTAATTTCTTGTCCTGCACTAACTCTATTTTGTTGTTCCAATGACTGATTTTGTTTCTCAATCACTTCAATTTGTTGTTCTGCAGACATAGTTTGACCTTCGGTTGAATCATTCTGTTCTTTTGGCTGTTTTTGTTCTTCTCCGATGCAAGTTTCTTGCTTTTGCAGTTGATTCCATTCATCACCACCTCCATTTTTATGTTCTTGTGGTTCACTTTCCATTGCTTCCTTCTGTAATTTTGCTTGATTTTGCTCTTTGTTCACTTCTTGTTTTTCTTCCACTTGATTTTGTTCTACAATCACTTCATCTTTTGGTTGATTATCAAACACCTCATCCCGCTCTTCTGTCAGCTGATTTTGTTCTTCAATTGCTTTATTTTGCTCTTCTGTTACTTGAATTTCTAGGTCAATCATTTCCATTTCTTTAATCACATCTTTCTTACGTGGTCTGCCCCGTCCCCATCCTCGTCCCCGTCCCCGTCCCCGTCCCCGTCCCTGTCCCCGCCCCATGCCCCAAGCCTTTCTCCGCTCTGTCTTAAGATGTTCCCTCCTAGGGCTAGCATCATCACTGCTTAGAATTTCTATGTCAATCATTTCCATTTCTTCTTCTCCAATTACATCTTTCTTACGTGGTCTCCCCCGCACCTTCTGCTTTGTCTTAAGCTGTTCCCTCTTAGGGCTAGCATCATCACCACTCTGAATTTCTATGTCAACCATTTCCATTTCCATTTTTTTTTCTTCTTCTTCATCTTCTTCCGTTTCGTCTTCTTCTTCTTCTTCCATTTCTTCTTCTGTTTCTTCTTTTGTTTCTTCCTCTGTTTCTTCTTCTTCTTCACTCACATATTTCTTATGTTGTCTTCCCCATCTCTTGCCCCGCACCTTCCTCTGCTTAGTCTTGAGCTGTTCCCTTTTAGGGGTAGCACAAGTTCTTTGATTAGTGCTCAGTTTGGTGATTGCACCACCAAGCAAATACCGCTTTTCATACGTCACAGCAATGTCACCACTCTCACAAAGCTTCCACAGATGATGCTTCAGAAATGTAGAATGAGCCCATGGCAAATCATCATGCTTATTTTTAATGAATTTTGATATTGACTCCTCGCTAGAACCCCCTTCCTCATTCAACTCCTTAATTGCTCCATGTATCATCTGCATCACATCCCACCACACAAAATCAAAACTTTGTCAATTTAATATGCACACAGAATTAAATCAACATAAGTTGAAATGTCAATGCCTACACACGGAATAGAACATCACAAAAAATCATAACTTCATCAAAATTGATATACAGATAATACAAATTCACGTCTTAACTCATACAGAGAAAACAAACTATATTTGGCCTCTTCGACCTCCAAATTCCTCAACTTCAACTTTTAATATTAATAACAAACAATGGCATATTTGATCTCAGAATTCCAATTTAATCATTTTTTTCTCTATTAAACAACACCTCAGAGCTCAAATTTACCCGTTCAATTCTTTCAAGTTTTCATGCAAGTAACAAGCATGTGGGAAAGACACCCTACATAATACATGCACATATGCAAATTTACATAGAAATATATGCATGCATTCATATATTCAGAATTACATATAGATAAAGATGGAGAATTATGAGTACATGTACAAAGTAATGTTACAAATGGGAACAATATGATATGACACTTAAGCTGTGTTTGGTTGGGAGATTTGAAAAAAGAAAAAAAAATGTGTAAAATTAGGTAAAATGTAAGTATATTTTATTTACATTTCACCTTCATTTTCCTTTTTCCTTTTCAAATCACTTCCCAAATCTCCCAACCAAACACAACGTAAGGAAAATTCTATTATACACACCGTTTGAAAGAGATGTACCATATGCATTCCTAATTATGCAATTTTGTTCTTTAGTTATGACCAATTTTCTTCTTTAGTTATACCTTTGGTTATGGCTCATGTAGCGTTTGATTATAAATTTTATTTTAGTTATGATATGTAATTATGACAATTTCTTCTTTATTTATAAAGTGCATATGGTGCATCATAGTCTTTCCCATGACACAATATTATCTCATAAAAGCAAACCATGTGAAAAGAGGGTATGGATGAGATTTCTTTATCATCCCATGAATTTTGATGAATAATCTTGGTATTATAAAAATATACCTACCAGCAATCATTTTGGTTTCTCACCAATTTTATTAGTATTGTTTTTTAAGGAGACTTATCACGATTTCTCATCTAATTTGCAAACAAAACATGAAATTTCTTGTAATTTATCATCAAATCACTCGATCCAATTACTCACATGTAAGTATTCTTACTAAAATTATACATAAATAACCAGAATTTGACATGAAGAAACAGTAGAACACTTCCAATTATTCAGATTACCCTTTTTCTCAAGTAAACCCAAGACCCAACTGCACATATATATATGCATGCAAGTGAAATGGACTTCATAAGTGTGAAGAGACTTACAGAAGCATAGGTGGGATGATCAGGGGTGTGAGTGTCGGGGAATAAGTGGGTGAGGCGATTTTGCATGAGGGTCTTGCGGGAGGGGGTGAGTGGTATGGTTGTATCAGAGGTCACGAATTTCATTACCAATGCCCTGAAATTCGACATAGCTCTGTTTGCTATTTTTTCATCATTGTTGGCGTTTTGTGAGGGGTTTTGGGATGATTGCATTTGTAGCTGAGCTGATGGTGGAGCTGACACTGGTGGTGGTGGTGGTGGTGGTGTGGGGGTGGAGGGATTCATTGCAGTAGAAGTAGTAGTAGAAGAAGAAGTCAAAGTAGAAAGGTTGGGAAAGTACACTCACTTTGAACATCATTTTTGATGGATACTGCACTGCACTGCACTGTCTCTCTCTCTCTCTGTCTTGGGAACAATGCAATGAGGTTGTTTAACTTCCTCTTTAGTGTGCCATTAATACGTTTTGTTTTTTGGATAATAGAAAAATAATCGTGGATTTGATTTCAGTTTTTAAAATTGAGTTTTTATTTTATTTTTGAATATTTTTAAAATTTTAAATATATATTTTTTATTTTTTAGATGATCTTATTTAAATGTATTTAAAAAGTAAAAAATTTATAAATATATAAAAATACGAAAAATATGTTGAATATTCGTTTTTTTTATATTTTTGGTATTTGGTAAATTTTTTAAAGATTTTTTCACAAAAATTATATTTTTTAAGTGTATTTATGTTCGGTGTGTCTTAAAATTAAAAAAAAAAATTGCTTAAAAAAATACAAAAAATAAGAAAGTACAATTTTTTGAAAAGTGAATTCTAAAAACTAAAAATAAACAGAGTGAATTATATTTGGATAAAGGAAAAATAATTACTCTTACAAAAAAGTAATAAATATTATAAATAAAAGTATTAATAATTTAAAATTATAAATTTGTGATAATTTTTTAAGAAAAATTAGTCTAAGGTCTCTTTCCTATTTTTAATAATGGAAGAGATTCACAATATTATTTTATGATGTCTAAAGTCCTTCAATCCTAAACTCATATATCACAGAGAAATTTAAGAAGAAACGAAAGGCTTCAAAAACTGAGTTTGGTCTCTCTCTTCTCCCTCTCTGCTCGCTCTCTCTCTCTCTAGAAATTTAAGAAGAAACGAAAGGCTTCAAAAACTGAGTTTGGTCTCTCTCTTCTCCCTCTCTGCTCGCTCTCTCTCTCTCTCTCTATCTCCCTCTCTCCTACATCAACCCCAAAAAATATTATTGTGCATTGAATTGTGCCTTTCCTCTTCTTACTCTTCACCCCCCAAAGATCTAGACCGAGATCATTTGTTGTAAACAGATAGACCGAAGACGAACAGAGACTCTTCAGAGTCAACTCTACGTCCACCAGTGGCGCAGCGAATCTAGCGCCACCGCCGCCTTCTCATCTCCAGCAATGTCGCCGTCGCATCACCACCACTCTCGCTCTTCTTCCACCACTGACATTTCCACCTTCAAGCACAATCAGACCTTCGCCGCCAAAGCCGCTCGACGACGTCGGCAGCAGCGACGGTGGTGGAGAAGGAATGGGCTTGTCTCTTTAAGTGCATAGTCAACTGGTTGTGCCGATGAAGCAGAGTACTTCTCCCTCTCTGCTCGCTCTCTCTCTCTCTCTCTATCTTCCTCTCTCTTACATCAACCCCAAAAAATATTATTGTGCATTGAATTGTGCCTTTCCTCTTCTTACTCTTCACCCCCCAAAGATCTAGACTGAGATCATTTGTTGTAAACAGATGGACCGAAGACGAACAGAGACTCTTTAGAGTCAACTCTACGTCCGCCAGTGGAGCAGCGAATCTAGCGCCACCGCCGCCTTCTCATCTCCGGCAATGTCGCCGTCGCATCACCACCACTCTCGCTCTTCTTCCACCACCGACATTTCCACCTTCAAGCACAATCAGACCTTCGCCGCCAAAGCCGCTCGACGACGTCGGCAGCAGCGACGGTGGTGGAGAAGGAATGGGCTTGTCTCTTTAAGTGCATAGTCAACTGGTTGTGCCGATGAAGCAGAGTAATGCGGACGAGCTTCGGAGGCTCGGTTTCAGTTTTCATCTCATCAACCCTTATATGATGTGGTATTGCAACATCAACAAAAGAATTCTGTTGTTGCTGTTCAGTATGATTAGTGTTCGGAAGATGATGAAAGGTACATCTTTTCTTGGTTTTGACATTAGAAAACATGTTTGGTGCGGCATTTGGAACTGATTGGGCATGTGCTCGGGTATCTTCAACTGCGGGAAGTGGGTTAGAGGACTCTATGGATAGATCATCAGTAATATAAACTTTAAGGCCAAGCTCCCCTCTAACACGTGAAAAGATTCCACGCTTTTCCAATGGGTAGTGTAAGACAACATCATCTGAATAGGGAACAAACGATGTCCCATTGAGGGAAACTTTCGCGAGAAAGGACCTAGTGTGGCCGGCATTGATATTGTTGTAGATATAGGCATCGAGAGTAAGATTGTGGAGATTAGACGGGTCTGATATGTTGAAGTAGAAGCTCTCATTCCACTAGGGTAGAGAGGGAATTTCTCTGGTTTTGAAGAATTTCTCTGAGTTGAAGTGTCTAGAGAAATTTCAAAAACCAAAAACAGAATTAAAAAGGAACTTGATAAATATGCAGAGAGTTGGTTAATTGTAGATTTGACTGAGTTGGGTTTTTGGGATTGATGGATGAATAGATGATGCAGAGAGTTGCAGAGACATTCAATAATTCAAGCCATTGTTTTAGGTTATTGTTGTTTTTTTTTGTTTTTTTGTTTTTTTTTTGGGTGATGCAGAAAATTTCTCTGGTTTTAAAGAATTTCTCTGGATTGAATCAAGAGAAATTCTCTGGTAATGAGATTTTCTCTGTGAATATGTATCCAAGTCGCTGAAGCCATCAAACTGCAGATAACAAAAATGAAGTAAACTCTTGTGTAGAATTTGAAATAAATTCAGGAAGTTATAAAGGTTGAAATATG